TGATAGTTAAGAAAACATTACAATGAGTTCACACTTAACTCTAAACAAATATGTTTTTGAACTTCCCAAATTCATACATTTTGGTTATTTGTAATCAATTGGGTAAAAATGGAATTGGTTTAAATTAGTTTAATGCATAGATGTAAGTCCCCTTTCAGACACGTCAAGTCTTGAAAGCAATTTTTTTCGCATTCTCTTTTGTGTTTTCTATTTGCTTCCACACGCGTCAACTTTAATTGAATTCAAGTCCTTGGTTCTTTAAATGGGAAGCAACGAAAAGATCAAAAGAGACAAGAAAACTTGAAACGAATTGACGGTACGGAGGTATCTGTACTCTTCCCCTCTCTTCTCACCTCCTTCGCCTACGAACGAGCAGACTTGAAAGCAAGACTTGACGTGTCTGAAAGGGGACTATTTCTATTTACGCTGCCTGGGTATATAACCCCGCAAAATACAGCGTTGATTTTTGGTTGAGATTTTCAGTTTAGATTAGCTTGGATGATCCGTATGATCTCACATAGACAAATAGTTTAGTGTTACCAAGAAAAAGGACGCCTATAGTCATGCGTCATGTTTTAGCGAGTTTTAGAAATTTGTTGTCCTTTGATCTGCTATTTATTTCAGTTATTAAAAGAAGAGCCTAGTAGCACAGTCCTGATCTTCCGGAATCTGATGGTGTCACACAGTGTCCCGTAAGAACCCTAACTAGTATTTTGCAATCCGGCCATAGAAAAGGTGATTAAAGCGAAGCATGGTTTTGGCTGTCAATAGGACATATTTATTTTAATTATTGTACTAGTATAACTTACAAGGTTTTACCATTATCATTTACTCGTAGTAATAAAAAATATTGACGAAAAATCATACACAGCGACCATCGAAATAAATCCATATGTATGTATTTTTTTCACCCAACTTTAAATGTTTGAGTACATAAGTACATTGATAATTTTTTTTTATGGAAAAAATGTGCGACACCTTCAACAAAACAATTTCCCAAAAATCAATGGTAAGTCTTAGCTTCCTCTTTCTTGCACTTTATTATACTAAAATTGAATGGGTTAAAATACTGCATACTCAACTTTTTTCTAGAG